GGGTAATGTACTGCCGACTTGTTTTTGGAAAGAAGAAATACATACGATTCTTATTGAGCTGTGTTGATAGTACACTATACAAAGTCTTCACAAGGGGGCATAATTCTACTTTGGAAATGTAATTGAAGTTAGGACAAGATACAGTACAGCCTCTTCGCATCAAGACCTGCCAGGGACTGAGTCCTAGCTTTTGTTCTACAAGTGCTGCTCCCTGGAGGCTACCTGGCATGCAGGCATACAGAACTGCTACACTAACTCCACCCAAAGCAGCTCATGTTTGTGATTTTTACAAAGCTAACACAGAGAACACCAGCCACTTCATGATTTGCACTGAGGGCCTCATTCACTTCCAATGGTTGGACCATCACGTAACGTATGCAAGCAGGCAGGATGAGCTGGTTCCACTCGAATTACACACCCCCAGCAGTTCAGTGAGCAACACCTCAGAGGCCAAGTATTGTGATTCTTTCTGCCCTGTTTATAGGATCAAGGCCTCATCACAATATCCAGGTGATTCATGTTTTCTGTCATCTTAGGGCATTTCAGTGCTAGTTGCATTTTCATTTTCCCTTACCCCACAGAACAGGAGCTTATATTATCACCAAAGATGGTGGAGATGAGGAGCCTGTAGGCCCTTCCTCTTGGTACCGTCTTCTTTCCCCTCCATCTTTCACAAATTTGCATAGCTGGACTCAGTCCACCCCCCCCTCCATCCCAACACATAACATTCCCATTAGAACTGCTTTTTCTTTAGATAGTATCATGCCATCTGAGCATTAGACTTGTATCCTATGTCCAGGTGTTGAATGGTCTCTTTAAATGTGAAGGTTCATTATTGTTCCACAAGATGTGTAAGTCTTTAAGGGCCAGAGCAAATAACGAGACCCAGTTTTACAGCTGTGAAACAGTATAGCAGGTGCTGCTAAGCTGTGTTAATTAAGCTGTGTCAGCAATTGGTTATAGTATATAAAGAGCAGCACCTAGCTCTCCCAGTACCCGGGGGGATGGGTTGGTGGTTGGGTCATGCTTGTTGATATATTTAGTGTAAAAGGAGTTTTTGTTTTTATTATTAAAACCTTGTTAAAGTTATTTTTGAGTTCCTTGTAATGCGTGGTCGCCCCAGCAAGCTTTCTACAGCGCAACTAAACTGCAAATAGCCAACACCAGGGGCATAGCTAGGGGTTGGCAAAACCAGCCCCAACCAGGGACTCAAGCCAGGGGTGGGACAAGAATCACTTATCAGATCATGGAGTGTATGGTGTATATATGCAAGATCAAATGCGAGAGATGTTTCCCGTCCTTGTTGCACCATGGCACAAAGGTGTGCATTTTATTTATTTATTTGCCCTTTCTACTCCCCTTGCCCTCACTCTGAATGCTTTGAGTACTTGAATCACGTAAAATGCAGTAATTTCTACAGTAGCTACTGTGGTAAAGTGTTTTTTTCTGGCACCAGTGCAGATACAGCTCCTTGCCAAAGGTGCAAAGGACCCTAGGTAAACCTCTGCCTATTTCAGTTTTAGAAGCTGTATAAGGAGTTTCAGAACAATAGACGCTCCAGCAGCCGAAGCTTAGGGAGTTTTCACCTGACCATCTTGCCTAAAACAGTAAATATTTGTATCCCACTCATTTTCGGTTTTGTTTGGTACACCACCTTCTCTCTAGTAAGCTATAAACACTTTGGGAACAAATGCTTTATTCCCTCTAGCAAAATATATGAACAGAGCAATACACCACCAAAGATCTAAGTAACAGTGCTGTGGAAAGTAGGGTGTTGCACTCATCTTCAAAAAGGGGAAAAATTAAAGCTCATTTAACTACCAACTGGTAAGCTTGACACCGATACCAGGAAAGGTCCTAGAACAGTTAATTCAACAGTTGGTCTGTGCACACTTAGAAAAGGATGCTGTAATTATAAAGACCCAATGTGGGTTTCTCAAAAACAACTCATGCCAGATCATGGGTGTAGTCAAGCCGGGGCAGGGAGGGGCAGCTGCCCTTCCCCCAAATCAATAAAAAAATACATAGGAAAGGTTCTTCCCTGCTCCCCTACGAAAAGGCTTGCTTTCCCCAACAAAAATCCTGACTATGCCCCTGTGCCAGATGAATCTCATTTCTTTCTTTTTTTATAGTTACAAGCTTGGTAGATCAGGGGAATGCTGTAGACATAGTATATCTTGATTTCAGTAAGGCTTTTGGCAAGGGCCCCCATGATAGTCTTGTGGAAAAGCTGGTAAATGTGGATTAAACAAGGTAATTGTTAGGTGGATTTGTAGCTGGTTGACTGACCAAACCCAAAAAGTGCTCAGTAATGGTTCCTCATCATCCTGGGGGGGAAAGTGACAAGTGGGGTGCCACAAGGTTGTCCTGGGCCTGTTGTTGTTCAACATCTTTATAAATGACTTAGATGAAGGTATTCAAGGGATGCTTATCAAATCTGCAGTTGACACCAAACTGGGAGGGGTAGTCAATGCCGCTAAAGACAGAATCAGGATTCAAGATTACCTTAACAGATGGGAGAACTGAACCAAAACTAAGAAAAAGAATTTCAACAGGGACAAATGTAAGGTTCTACACTTAGTCAGGAAGAACGAGCTCTACAAATTATAAGATGGGGAACACTTGGCTAGCCAGTAGTAGATGTGAAAAGGATCTAGGGGTCATAGTAGACCACTAGCTTAACAATGTGATGCAGAAACAAACAAACAAACAAACAAAGATAATGTTATTCTAGGCTGCATCAACAGAACTATCGTGTCCAGATCAAGGGAAGTAATAGTTCCATTCTATTCTGCCTTGGTCAGACCACACCTGGAATACTGGGTCCAATTCTGGGCACAATTTCAGAAGGAGAGCAACCAAGATGATCAAGGGCCTAGAAACCAAGCCTTGTGAGTAGTTGCTGAAGGAGCTAGGGATGTTTAGCCTGGAAAAGAGGAGACTGAGAGGAAGTATGATAGCCATCTTCAAGCATCTGAAGGGCTGTCACATGGAAGATGGAGGAAGCTTGTTTTCTCCTGCTCTGGAAGGTAGGACTTGAACCAATAGCTTCAAGTTACAAAAAAGGGTATTTCGACTAAATATCAGGAAGAACTTTCTGACAGTAAGAGCTGTTAGACATTGGAGTGGTCTCCGTTAGGAGGTTGTAGATGCTCCATTTGAGGCTTTTAAGCAGAGATTGGATGGTCATCTGTCATGGATGCTTTAGATGAGATTCCTGCATTGCAGGGGGTTGGACTATATGACCCTTGGGGTCCCTTCCAACCCTAAGATTTTATTATTCTATTTGTCATTCCACATAATTTTCCCCCCACAATAATCGCAGGCTGTGGATATTTGCTGAGAGCAGGGGAGGTAAACTCTGAATCCAGCTTTTCCAGTGTTACCGGATGTTTGTAGGAACTAAGAGGCTTAACTATATCAAGAGCAGTGGTGCTCTCTCTTTCTTTCACAAACACACACATACATACACTTGCCTGATTAATCAGGTATTCAGCTTATCTCACACCTCTTTCTCTGGTCTGTAAACAAAGACACTCCTTAGAGAAGTATCACACTCACAAACCTGGATCTATTAGAAAATCTAATTTGAGGCCAAGATCATCTTCCATTTATCCAGCCAGACAAGCATATTTCAAAATTCAAGCAGAGGCGGCCAAGCTTCACACAAGGGACCAAATTAGTTTATCAACACACAAGTATAAAACCAGCCATCTGCACACCAAACTAGCTAGTTTGAAATCAGGTTATGCGCTAGCGATTAACCAAATCCAAAATCATGTCAGCACTAGATTTAGTGAGTCACAACTAGTTCAAAGGCTTCCAGCAGGGCGAAATAAGATTTACACCGTCAGCATGAGCAGAATCTAGTTCTCTCTGTTACAGCAAAGAAGTGAATAAAAGTTATCCTTTCTGGTAAGATGCACACAACTAACTGCATGCTTTCTTCAGATTTCGCTACCAACCAGCTACCCTAGAATACCCCCCACAGGATAACTTCATTTTAAACCCCTTAATAAGTCTGCAAAGTTCTCAGGACAGATCGCTATGTACACCCTCCCACTCTGCACCTAGCTAAGTAATCTCCAACAGAAAAGCTCCCTCCACCAGATGACTGAGTGGATGGCCAGAGCCCATCATCCCTACAGATTCCTCTGTTCAGATGTGGCCTCCAGTTCCAGCCCCAGCTCATGAAACCCATCTTGTTTGGGACAGTCATTTTGCCTGTGCTAATAGCTCCGCATCAAGTTTGCACAAGCCCAGCCCTTAAAATGAGTATGAGTGCCTGTGGGAGGGAGGGAGAAAGACCTGCTTGTTGGGCTTGGGACCTGCCAGAACTTAGTCACCCTTATTAATTTAAAGAGGAAGCCTTCGTGCCTAGCAAGGAGTGAAACTACCAGTAGATCCAGTGCGGGAGCTCAGCTGAGCCAGAGGGATGGGTCATGCCCAGCCTTGATACAATTTGTGGAGGAACCTGTCCTCTAGCCACCTGGCATCACAGAGACTCAGAAGTCCTTGCTTCCTTTTAATACAGCTGCAAACACAATCCTGGTTCCTGAGTAGGGTGGCCAGCTGCAGACAATGATGGGACTCCTGCGCCTTTAACAAGTGTGTAAAAGGGGGGATTTTAGCAGGTACATAAACACCACTTACTTCCACACAACTATTAATGGCATGGGACCCCTATCCCTCTTTGCACCTGGCCACTTCATACCTGAATTTCTGTCTGTGTTAGGCACCCAAGCAAAATGGGGAGGAAACTGAAACTGGCACATCTGCAGGTTTCGTTAGTTCAAGTGTTACTGAACACAAGGGATTGGGAATGACAAGAGTTGCAGTCCAACCACTTCTGGAGGGCCACAGGTCCCCCACTCTTGTTTTTAATCCTAACTTGTGAAACAAAGAGCAGTTTCCTATTTTAAAAGATGTCTACCTCGCCATTTCAGATGCCGTCCTCCTGCCCACATTTTTTTTTTGCAGTTAAATTAGAAATAAACTACTTTAGTTCAGATTTTTTATTATTTGTCTGCATCAGATCAACAATCTTTAAAAGGTATGCATATAGAGAAAACTAACATTTTGCACGGTAGATTGCTCGATGGGCCCAAGCCAAACACACACACAATATTAACAATATAATACAGACAGGTGCAGTGCACATACCAGGGCTGAGGTCATTTACCCAGCCTATAAAAAACAACAACAAAAAACAACAATACATTTACAGCATTTTTAAAAAGAATTACAACTTGTTTGCAGGAGCTACATATTGAGAGGGTCCTTTTCTCTTCGGAAAGAAAGTTTCAAGTATAGCAGAAATGGACAAAAATGCCCTTTACAAAAAAATGAAAAGTAAAAAAGCTGCCATGGCAGTTGTAGGAGAGGGATTGCAGCTGCAGCAGTACCTGGCTTCATGATCATCCTTTGGAAGGAGACACCAAAACAGATTTTAAAAGGTTATCAGTTAATCAACCAAATCATTAGCCTTGTAGAACAGATTGCTTTCATGATCCAAACACCATCTTTGCTTTGAGCAAAGAAATGGGCAGTTCAGGACAAATGATTGCAAGAACAGAACCATAGTTTTCAGTTGTACTTTTACAAAAATGTCGCTAGCACATAAATCTACAAGAGTCTTGGAGCATTCCTTGCCTTACACATTTGTTTAAGAAGCAAGCAAAGATGGCTTTCTTTCCCATTTACGAAGACAAGAGGTTGAAAATCATGTTACATTCTCACAAAGCACCTAGAGGTATTGCAACTAAGCAGATGTATGGACATCTTCTTGTCAGTTAAAAGCTAAGACAGTTTGGTTGCAGTACTATGCACACTTATCTGCGAGTAAGCCCTGCTGAAAAAAAAGTGGGATTTAATTTTCAGTAAACATATAGGATTGTACAGTTAGCCAGCCAAAGCACAATTCTATATAAACTTATTTAAAAGTGTCTCCCACTGCTTTCAGTGTGACTTGTTCCCTTGAAAGCAAAGATCGCATCCACAAGAATTTTAGCTGGTTGACAGCACCAAAGTAGTACACATTTATACTTTTATACGGCAACTTTTTCAAGGTTTTGCCTATAAATATGCGATATCTCAATTTTGCAGGAAAAAAGTGTATTTGAATGTTAAGGCAATTTTGGCAATGCTTTAGCAGCATCCCTGAGCAGGACAAGGGGAAGGGGGAATTAACATTGCAACTCTAGGTATACTTTGGGGTTAATGGCTGAAAAAAAAGACAGGATTCCTCCGCTTAATAAAAGTTGTGTAGAAGATGTAAGCCTGCGTGACAACTTACAACTATACAACTAATTAAAGATGCCGGAGTCTTGTCCTAATTTTCAGCTTGGCCACCTTAGAACACTTGCTAAACTCAATGGTGCTTTTTTTTGAATGTATGGATTGTGCTGTTAGTCCCATTAAACTCAAATGGGACTTGCTTCTGAGTTAAGTATCAACAGGATTGTCTTGCACTGACTTCCCCCTAGTCCCTTCCCTGGTCATTATATACAGGGGGGGGAGAGGTAACCCCCCCCAAATCTATCTTTTATTTAAAAAATTTGGTATGAGATGCAGATGTTTGAATTCACTGGGGTAACTTAGCTCAAGCCAAGCTATTTGAATCTGTCCCTTTTGGCACCATCCCTTTGAACAAAAGGAGCCAGCAAGTTTAAATTTGTCCCTCTTTTCCTCAAGGATACTTACTATAAAAAGGTAGTTCGACAAGAGCAAGCATTTTACATTACAAGATAAAAAATAAAGACCATTGTACAGAGCAAAACATTAAAAAGTTAAACTCGCTTGAGGCAATTGACATAGTCTTTGAACTATGGCTGTGTGCACACTGAAGATTTGGAATGGGAATAGCAGAGATATGCTGCCACAATTATAGTGCCCACACACAAATATTTCCAGTGCAATTTTTCATATACTCTGCTGCAGTTAGATCTGTGTAACTATTCACTCTTAAATACACAAACGTTTTCCATATTGCCATGGAAGAACCAACTGGGTTTCCTCTTTAAATATTAAAATGTTTTACTAATATATACATAATTTACCTCTTCCAATAAGAAAATATTCCATCCCTTCATAAATAGAGTTCAGAGTCTCTTTGCGTCCCTGTCCCACCCCCCTCTTCTTCATCCCTACCACATCCCACCCAGGTGCCCCAGGGAGCAGGCCATGCTTCACACATGCCTCTTCATGTGCAGGGCCAGGTGATCTGATCGGGAGAAGGCACGGTCACAGAGGTGGCACTGGAAGGGCCGGACACCAGTGTGTTTGCGGTAATGGCGTGTTAGTTCATCTGACCGTGCAAATTTCCAGCCGCAGCCTTCCCAGTTACAGTGATAAGGCTTCTCACCTGGAAAAACAGAAAAGGAGAGAAAGGTGAACTTTCTAGTCTGGTGAAAAGGAGTGAAAATGGCCCTGTCTCCACCCACCCTGGGACAAACACTCGCCCAAATAAAAGACCAAGTGAATCTATTCCAGGGAATGTGCTCTCCACTGATCTCACATCCCTGGTGAAAACTGGCCCCAACGATGTCCTACATTGGACGTAACCGCTTTACATCAAACTAGCATTAGTTCAACCTAGTCAGCGGTCTTAACTGGAGAGTTCTGTAAACAAACTTCCGGGCAAACAACATGCACAGGATTGTACTGCATGTGCCTTTCCAGAAACAATTTAATTCGCGGAATAAAGCAACAAGGCGCACTGGCGCTGTCCTGCCAAGCTCTGCTCCTGCAGCGTCCCCTGTACACAAGCCGCACATTCCCGGGAAGGCAGGATTGGCCAAAGCACGCCCAAGTGTCATATAAGATCAGCCTGGCAGAGTTTGCTGCCAGTTTTCGCACACTCGGCGAGTCTGCCCTGCGTCCAATTCTCCACATTGCTACACCCTGTGCGCCCACGGGGGGGACGGGACGACAAAACACCTCCGCGCTTCCCCCGCCCCGCTCCTCCTCTTGGGGAGCCCTTCTCCGCGAGCCCGCTTCCCCACATCCACCCACCCGAGGCGATCCGCGTCCCTCCCACCCCCAGCGACCCTTAACTCCACTCCCAGCCCCGCGCCCTCCTTACCCGTGTGGGTCCGCATGTGCGCCTTGAGGTGTGAGCTCTTCGTGTAGGTCTTGCCGCAGCCGGCGAACTCGCAGTTGTGGGTGGCCGTGCGCTTGCGCGCCCAGGACCTGCGGCCCCTCTTCGGCTTGCACTCCTCCGGGGGCCCCATCGGGGCGTAGTAATCCAAGACGGGCGAGTTGGGCGGCGTTACCAGCAGCCCGTGCAGGCCCTGGGCGTGCGCGTTCAAGGACTCCCGGAAGACGCTGAAGTGTCCACGGAACTGGGGCTGCATCTGCCCGGCGAAGTTGGGCGGGAAGAGGTGGGCCCCCCGGGGGTAATGCTGGGGGGCTCCCATCTGCGCGTGCATGTCGCCAGCCACCTGGCACTGGGCCGCGGGGCTCATCTGCTCGCTGGGGAAGCCGGAGGGCGCGTGCTGCGGGAGGGGCTGCTGCTGCTGCTGCATCATGGCCTGCATCAGGAGGGGCTTGTGGTCCAGAGGAGCGGGCCCCAGGCAATCGGGGCTGCCGCTCATCATGCACGGCTGCCCGTCCATCGGCTCCTGCTTGACGCGCAGGTGCTCCATGGAGAGGCCCCGAGCTAAGCCTGGGGGAGCGTGGGCCAAGCCAGGGGCGCGCAGCTCCGTGTATTCCCGCCGCTGCAGCTCGCAAGGGCCCGGCCCTGCTGCCGGGTGCTGTTGCATGTCCTGCGTGAAGAGCTCGGCCATGTAGCTGTGGCCCGGGCTGGGCATGTAGGACGCGGCGAACTTGTTGGAGGGCTGCTGGTAGTTGGAGCTGTCGCTGTCGTAGGTGGTGCCGCAGCTCTCGGGAGTCTCGGGCAACGGGTAGTTGGGGTTGGGGTGCGGGGGCGCCGCCACCCCCGTGGGCTGCCCGTTCGTGGTGTGCGCCAGGATGAACTCCAGGTCGACGAAGTTCCCTAGCTCGTCCGCTTCCCTCTTGATGGTCGCGGCGCCCTCCACGTGGGTGGGGATCCTCTGCTGCTGCTGCTGCGTGGATAGGAGCAGCGGGGTTATGGCGGGGAAGAGTTAAGGTGCCAGGCGCAAACATGCTACTGGGGAGCCAAATCCAGACACTATTTATAGCACCCCCTAACCTGAAAAACGGGTTGCGCGCACCTTCCCTCTCCGATGAGTTTAAGGGCAGGGCGCGCCTGGCACTCAAATCACTTCGAATTAATACCAATCTGCTAGGCTCCACTGGATCCCACCCGGTCCCCTTGCTATGGTTCGAAGGAGCGGATCCTGCGTCTACACAGCCTACTAGTACGCCAGTCAGGAATGAGTCGGGATCGCTTCCTGATCTCTCCAAAATGTACCCATCTCCTCTTGGAATGTAGTTAATTATGGAGGAGTTAATTGACTTGACCCCCTAGCCCCGCCCTCTCTCCGCCCCCGCCCCAATATTTGATTGGTTCCGCTCAGCGAGAAGCCCCTCGCGCTGGAATATGACTGGTACGCTCCGTCCTTTGCAGATTACGGCGGTCTTTACCAAAACGTCCCGCGGAGACTTAAGTTTAAATTTCTCAGCAGTCAAAAAAACTTTATCCCTGCATCCTTTCCAAGTCCCACAAAAATATGTTCAATGTGTTTTTGTTTCTAGCTAGCCTTTAAATTGTTAAATCGCCCAGAAATTCTTGTGGGAACAAAAATACATTTTACACGCAAATGCGTATAAGGGAGCCGTGACGACCTTTAAGAAGAAAAGGGAGATTTTAAGTGGGGGGGGCAATGCTTAACCACCTTCCTCCTCCACTACCACGCTTTTCTGCTCAAAGGCTCTCCCCCAATAGCCTTTTTCGTAGGGACATCCATTCCGGCTTCAAAATGCCCCTCTCCCAAAGTTTCTTTATTAAACGACCAGAGCTTGCACGTGCCGCCACTGCCCCTCAGGGTGCCTAACGCAGCGCAGGATCGGGACGCAAATCAGGTAGGAATTCCAGTAACTGTGTGGGGCTAACTTTGCTACCGAACAATTCGGGCATCAATTCAGCCTGATCAGGAACTCCACCCTTACTCTCTGCACGTACTCCTGGACCAGGATAAAACTCTCGCTTATATACATTCTAGTATCCTGCCCGCCCTCCAAGAGGCTGAGTGCGGTATTTTAGCCTCACAGCTGTGAGCTGAGTTTAAGGCATGTGCCACTCCAGAATTCTTAAGATAATTTCGAAAGTTTGGTGTGTTTTTTAAGCGAAAACCTCAATAACGTTGGTGCCCCCAAACAGCTCAGGCAAGAGTTTTAAATTAACATCGTTGAAAAATCGTATTGCTCGCTGCCGATCCTGACCAGTGTCATTTTTATATGATCCAAGGTAGTTTATCCTCCTACGAGTGCAAAGACCAGGAACCTCCCCAACAAAGCCAGGCAGGTTAGAAGTGGGGTGCAGCCTCAAGGCGCCGTCGCGCAGTTTCTAACACCCCACCTCAAAATACACATCTGGATCCTGGCGGCGGCAAGGGAAGCAACGGGGGGCGATTAAGAACGGGAAAACTGTCCCCGGGGGCCAGGGGCCCTTGCCCCGCAACCCCTCCAAATAGTCTCGGAGCGCCATTCCGTTAATATTAGTTTTAAAGGACGGGAGGGTCTTCCTTGCGCCTCGCCCCTCCGGCGCTTTCCCAAACAGTTCCGTGCGCCCTCACCTGTACCATGTCGGGCTGCCGGTCTTCCAGCGGCACCAATCCGGCAAAGGTGGAGATAGACGGCAAGACAGCTTCCTCCACGGCTGCGCTCATCTTGCACGGTGGCTTGAGCGGGAAAGAGCTAGGAAACTGCCCCGAGTCCGGCAGCTCCCCTCCAGGCACTGAACGAGCGCTGAACTTCTGCAAGCGCCAAAAAAAAAAAAAAAAGGAAAAAAAGTTTCCTTGCGTTCCAGTAGTAAAACAGCTGAGCTCCCGTGCGCTCTGATTGGCCGAGGCGAACTACATATTCAGGAGGCTCATCTTTGGAATTTATTACAAAGGAAACGGCCACGCCCACTACAAAGGTCTCGGCTGTAGTCGAAGCTCGTTGACAAGCAAATGGAAATGAGCAAGAAAACCCCATTCTTGGTAAAGGAAGGGGCACCTTCCCACTTTTTTTAAGATCCAGAAGCAGACCTACTAAGTAAGCGGTCTTTACTCTGGAGCAATTGTCACGGAATGCTTCCGGTAGGCACTTCGTAGGAAATCGATTCGGAGAGAGCAGCTTACTCTTCGAGGTCCACGGTGTTCTAGTGATTAGTTAGTGTCCGCTGGGTTTGCCGAGAGGCAGGTTTAAATCCCCACTCTGGCCAACTGGCGATGGCTAAGAGACCACGCAGGAGGGGTTGTTTTATGCGAGGATAAAATTGCAGTGTGTGTATGAGAGAGAGAGAGAGCACATCAAATACTGTACCCTGCTTTTCCTAGAAGGAGAGGCGGTGTGTGTGTGGTCGATAAATATGAGATACAGTTTATAACTAAAGTCAGGATCCAGCTTCTAGGGGAAGCTGCAGCCTTATCAGAACATGACTTGTATCATGATCCTATGCATGGAAGCTTGGATGTTATTCTTCATGCATGATTGCAAATAACAGAAGTGCAGGTGGTGGTTGCCCAGTTAACTGTAATAGCAATGTCAGGGAGTTGTGTTTTGCCTCTGAACATCTCATGAAGCAGAGAATAAAACAGCTACAATGAAGGACTGTAAGAAGATCTTACGTGCCCCCACCCCAATGTCCACAGCTGAAAATGGCATAGTTCCAAAGAACATACACCAACACCCATTAAAGCCCACAGTTATGTCTTATGCAGTTATGCTGCTTTATACTTTGTTACATTGTATGTCTAAATTAAATTGTTTTCTTCCTTTCTATAAGGTGTCCTGATTTTTCTTTTTAAAGTGGACATCCTATCAGTATTGTTCATAAAGTTTAAAAAGGGTATGAAATAAGAAAGGCAGATCAGGTGGCTGAACAGGCATGCTTATCTTAATTAGAAGGAATATTGAAAATCATGTGCAGAGCTCAACCACCTATACCCAATCAAAATGTTTCACAGCAGACTGAAATCCTCCTTAAAAGTTCACAGAAAGGCATTCCATAACTGCCCTTGGACTCAGTTCAGAAATTCAGAGATGCCCATTGTAAAGGGATATTAGGGGTCTATAGAAATACAGTTCTGCTATTCCTCTTCAGTAATTTGCTGTGGAAGTAGCATCTATAGCAAATGAGTTCTGGTTCTGACACATGATTTTCCCTCTACGGAAGAAGGTAAGAGGAGAAACACACAGGGTGATAGACATAATGTTTGGCACACAATGTGTTTCATGGGTATCTCCACAAAAATAATGATTAGAATTGAGTGAAATAATTTAAGAGAAAGGTCTGACTTCCAAGTCTAGAAACCAAACCGGGGCAAATTCTTAGCCCCACCTCCCAAAAGACAGCAGAAGGGAGATGTCACAATAGTGAATGAAACTCAAAATCATAATGAGATCAATCCTCTGCATGATTACTCAGAAGTAAGCCCTTGAAGCCTGTCAATGAGTTCCAAGCATAATGTGCATTAATCATCCTTTATATGCAAAACCAAAGTCGGTAAAAGTTCTGGGTAAAACTGGGACTTTAATCTATATTTGTGATGGTGTGTAGAAATCAAGGGTTGAACATTTTTGAGCAAAAATGATGGGTGGTATCCAACTAGGCCATACTCAGAGTAGACCCATTTAAATTAATGGACTTGAGTCTGTTGTGATTTTGTATGCTATGTACATATTAACAGTGTTCTGCGGACAGCTCAGTTGGTAGAGCATGCAACTCTTGATCTCAGGGTCGTTGGGCAAATGATTCCTGCATTGCAGGGGGTTGGACTAGAAGACCCTCCTGGTCCCTTCCAACTCTACAATTCCATGATCTCCTAGAGCTATAGATAACAAGCTGTTGAAATTAAACAATTAAAATCATTTTTAAAAATAGACAATCTGCTGTTTCTTCAAATTACTCCTTCCTTTCTTCCTTGCCTCCTCTTAGGTATGAAACTGCTACTCATATCACTTGACTGATGCTCTGTCTTAAATACCAAACCTATTTTTTCTGTGAAGCCTTTGACACAGTCTCTATTTCCTGTTGCAATTAAGCCTAAATATGTGTAAACTAGTAATGCATATTCTTCCCTTACTTACCCTGGCTTCAAGTTACAAAGAAAGGAGATTCTAACTAAACATCAGAAGAAACTTTTTGATGGTAAGAGCTGTATGACAGAGGAATAATCTCCTGTGGACTTCCTGTGGACTTCCAAGGAAGGATCCTTGGAGGTTTTTAAGCAGAGGCTGGATAGTCATCTGTCATGGATGCTTTGGCTGAGATTCCTCCATTGCAGGGGATTCGGCTAGATGACTTTTGGGGTCCCTTCCAGCTCTATGATTCTATGATTCTACATGCCCCTCTCCTTTCTCTGTTGTCTCCCTGTGATAGATTATAGATTATAAACCCTATGGCCAGAGACTTATCCCTTTGTACTCTATAAAGCCTTGTACACGCTGGTATGTATATAAATCTTCAACAAAATGTTGCATCGGGGAGTGTTCTAGGCAGCCAACCTTGGGTTTTAAAAGCCAGGATATTACAGATTTTTAAAAGTTTCTATATCATTGCTATTGAAAACAGTTGCTTTTTGTTTTATGCTGTCCATTTATCTTCTAAGAGATTTAAAAAATATTTGCAAACTATTCAACATATCTGTCCTAACTTTATTTCCCTAAGATGGACCTGTTGCCCAGTTTCGTTAGCCTTTCCAGCTAGGAGTACTTTTAGACCTTTTGCCACCTTTGTTGTTTTCTTGCGAACCCCTTTGTTGCCTGTTAGCAATTTTTCTGAACTGCAAGTGCCTAAATGAATGCAATACTCCACTTGCAACCTTCAGCTAGACCTGGGTGAGTACCATGTGAGTCTTAATGACAAAGAACACTTCACTTCTTCTTAGTCTTAGAAGTGATGCTTCTGCTGATAACAGAAAAAGACATTCACCATATTTGTCACAGAATCGTATTGCTGACTCATGCTTGGTTTGTTATCCGAGCTAACACTGATACCATTTTCAGCACTTGCTGCCTGCCTGGTTGTTCTCCTATCTTATTCCCAAACATTTGTATCTTCTTTGCCACTTCTAACACATATCCCACATCTAACAGATCTGCCTTCATGTTTGTTGCTGTCTTCTCATTTTGGTAGTTTATTAGCTGGGTTTTGAATTTTGAGCTTGAGCAATTGATAAGGCTTACATTTCTCTTACACCTTAGGATTGAATCAGACTGCAGGGTCAAATTGATTGGATTAGGGTTTTAGAGCAATATTAGCATCCCAATACTGAAATTACATCCATTAGCAGCATGAGATTGCCTGAGGCCACAATGCTAACCAAAATGGAAGTAGGGAGTAGAAAGGTGTGATTGGTAAACTATGGAGTAAATAATGGGTTATTCTAGGCCTACAGATCTCGCATGTCAAGCTTCTTGAAGACCTAGCTCAAACGGGTTGAAGGAGAAAGTTCACAGATTTGTTATGATGATCACATGAGGAGAGGGATAACCATCCTTGAGCCCTTTGGAGGAAAGGTGGGATATAATAATAATAATAATAATAATAATAATAATAATAATAATAATAATACAGCGGTACCTCTGGATACAAACAGGATCCATTCCGGAAGCCCCATTCGCATCCTGAAGTAAACGCAACCCACGTCTGTGTGTGCGCGGGTTGCAATTCGCCGCTTCCATGCATGCGCATGACGTCATTTTGACTGCACATGCGTGAGCGGCGGAACCTGGAAGTAATGCGTTCCGTTATTTCCGGGTCACAGCGGAGCGCAGCCCGAAAGCGTTCAACCTGAAGCAACTTCAACCCGAGGTATGACTGTATAACTATAGCCCAGGTTCATATCAGAATACTCTAGCATGCAGTTCCTCCAGATGTAGTATCATCCACAAATTTTATAAAGTTAAATGTACTAGACCCAGCAGTACTTCTATGAAATGCCAGTGGCTGTTTATTTTCAGAATCATATTAATCAATTTGTAACTACCAATACAGTCGTACCTTGGATCCTGAACGCCTTGGCTCCCAAACAAATTGGCTCCCGAACAATCAAAACCCAGAAGTGAGTGTTCCAGTTTTTGAATGATTTTTGGAAGCCAAACGCAGCTTCCTGCAGCCAATCAGAACCCACGCTTTGGATTCCAAACGTACGACTGTATTGAAGAGTTGGAAGGAACCCCAAGGATCATCTAGTCCAACCCCTTGTAATGCAGGGATATGCAGCTGTCCCATCTAGGGATTGAACCTTCAACTTTGGCATTATAAGCAACACACTCTAACTAAGCTATCCCAGTTACTCAACCCATCCATTCCTACCTCTTCAATAAAGTAGCAGAAGACAATAGGAATGTAGTTTGGATTCATCAAGGCTTTGGATGTAAGAAAGCTTGAGGAAAGTGACATAAAAGAGTAATATAAATTCTACTTTTTCTGCTGCTTGTTTAGCATGCCCAGAGCTGAGCCCACCTACAAGAGGGTGCGTGCACATCAAGTTGTAGAAACAACACGTGCATTTCCCTATGTGAGGAGATGCACAGGCTTAGTTTTAGGTGTCAAAACCCGAATGTTTTGCTTGTTCTTTCCCACCCCCTGAACAATAGTTTTAAATGTCTGAAGCAACTCAGACAATATAGCAAGAAATGAAATAGGGAGGCAGGTGGTTGGTGCTGCTTCCAGGACTAGAACAGGGCTTCCCATCAATTATCTCTGACTTTCTGTTCATGTGTAAACTCATATCTAGTAATAGGAAATGCAAATATGCCCCTC